AAGAAATTGATGCCCCCGACAAGAAAGAAGAGGGCGCGGACGAGCGTCGCTAAAAACTTTTCGAAAGTGGCCTAGGGGGCGAAAATAAGACAATATATGGGTTTCAAATTTTTATTTAATCAATTTCAGAGTCTATGTAAAAACGACGAATTGTGGTTTTTTATCCCCGACGGGGGAGGGGGGGTGGCTGTATCCTCTGCCTACTTTCGGGCATCTATAAGTCTCAAATTTTTAAAATTTTCTTCTCACCTTAGCCCCCAACCATGGTGGGGCTCAGGTGGATACGAATATGGTAGTTTTTGTAATTGTAAATATTCAAGTGCTATTTCCGGGCACCTATTTAGGTCTAATTAATTCGTTTTTGTTACTCAATTTATCAATAAAAACATTTAAATGGTAAAATGGTAATTTAAGTTCCCTTTCCAGGCAATTAATTCATTTTTGTTACTCAATTTGTCAATAAAAATATTTAAAATGTAATTTAAGTTCCATTTCCAGGCAACCAGAGGTACAAAATACTGAAAAGTTCTCACGTCACCACCAAACATGGTAGCGCTCACGTGATGTGGACTCTTACTTTTCATCACCACCACCCTTTTTAAATCCTGGATACGCCACTGAGTATGTGTTAATAGTAATTCCAGGAGCGGATCCAGAAACTTTCTGAAGTTCTCAGCCCCACCATGTTTGGGGCTGAGGTGAGCAAATTTTAAGATTAGGCCCCTCTAAACGCTCGGAAATGGCACTCTTAGATGGTAAATGTGCTTTATCAAAGCAGTGTTCCTGCTGCTCGACAAAATTTATGTTATTCTTCCCGAAGGGAGCTTATATATATTCCCCCTCCCTTAGACACCCTCCCCTAAGGTTAATCAAGGACCTATAGTCTCTTCTGTACCGAGAGTCGCAAAGCAAATTATGATTATGACACCTCTAGATGCCCGAAAATGGCACTCATTCAAACTTAAAATGTTAATATTTTATCTCCATTACAAAAAAAAGGCAAACGTACGGTAAGGGGTTCTGTCCAGCTGGGCATCCCATCCCACTGGATTAATATGGTATGTCCTACAGTAGATGTCAGAGACACATTATGCTGTTATGTATCAACAAAGACCTTTTAGATCAGAGTGCTATAGAACGAAGACCATGGCGTAGGGGCACCGAAGTAAGGGTGGGTGGCCCTGCGCACAGGCGTTACACCACTGAGCATGGATAGCTGTTTTAGCTGCAGGGTACTATGTCCCGTAATAATGGCTTAAAAAACCCCGTCTTTTAGGTCGTGTTTTGTAAGGGGTTCTGTCCGGCTGGTCATCCCATCCCCACTGGATTAATAATATATAGGCCTATTTCCTACAGTCGATATCAGAGACATATTATGCTGTTATGTATGAACAAAAATCTTTTAGATCAGAGGGTGCTATAGAACGAAAACCTAGGGGCACCGAAGGGGCTCCAAGGGTGAGTGGCCCTGCGCACAGGCGTTATGCCACTGAGCATGGATAGCTGTTGTAGTTGCAGGGTATTATATTCGTAATAATGGCTTAAAAACCCCGCCTTAGGTCGTATTTTGACCTTTTTTACATCCTGATTAATGAAATCGTTGGAGAAAGTCGGCGACGGGTATATAGCGTTGTGTTCGTCGTCAATCAATATAAAATTACACATATACTTGCAATTTCACATCATCAACCGATTTTGAAATCCAAATTAATATTTAAAAACAACGTGTAATTAATGATATCCCATTGAAGTGGAAACGTATATTGAAAGCAAAAAACCCACCAACCCTTGTGCTATGGGATATTATGTTTTATATTTTGTTTTCTTTTTTTTTCTCCTTCTGAACCAACAATCCCATATTTTATTTCATACGTTAGACCTAATACAATAATCATCTAAAGTTTTCATATAATTAAACAATTAAAATTGTTTAATTATATGAAAACTTTAGACTTAAAAGCCTTGATAGAAAAGTCTAATTCAATAATATAATAATAATTAATAATTATTTAATTATATAATAATTCAATAATATAATTCAATAGTTCTTATTTCATATTTTTGTATTTTCTTTTTATTTTATTGCTATCATCAACGTGTTAATTCTTATGAGTTATGTGATGACATTGGTGACGCAGAAAGCGTTAACGTTTATTGATATCTTAAGGTTCTATACAATTTATGAAGGGCAATCAATGACCACATTTTTTTTTCTTTTTTAATATTACTTAAAAATTCACAACTAATAAATTGTTCCAATTCATAAGTGAACAATGAAAAGAATTTCTTTTTTGTAAGACCAAGTCTATATATACATTACTTTACTTTTATATACTGTATACAGAATGTAAAATTGAAAGTTTCATTGATACGTTCGTCATAGCTTCCAAGTACAATTTTTTTCCATTGACTTCATTTGCACATTAAAAAAATTAAATAACATAGTTCTTCATAATAGTTTGAGAAATAATTGGTCTTCGGCGGTCTTCGTTTTGTAGACACCCATATAGGGTGTATATAAAACCAAGACCCTTGAAAATTTCACAATAGACGTGAAAATAATCTCGTAGTTTTGATATTTTAACAGCCTCACGTGTATTATTATTGAAATAAAGGAGAAAAATATGGGTCTCATTGTTGGATCTTCGGTCTTCATTTTATAGACACCCAGGGCATTTTCACAGGAATGACTATCACTAAAAATTAATGAATTAGGACTACCTTTAATTACAGCATAGACATGATACATATATTTATAAATTAATAATTAATTATATATTTATTAATTAATTTGTAATTGTCCAATTACATAGCCAGGATTTTCAAATAATACAAGGATTTACGCGTAAATTCAAATAATGTGGACCCATTTTTTAAAGTTTAACCATTTTACGCAAAAATATATGAACAAACTGGACCAATTTTCTTAAAAGTTGACCCATTTTACGCAAAATATTAGAAATCTAGACACATTTTTCTAAAAGTGGACCAATTTTTTGTGGACCCAATGAGCATGATCATGATGTAGATTGTAGCTGCTCTCTTAAGCTCCCCTCACATGTTACGAAAAATACGATTTTACTGATCCATCCGATCGCTGTGGATCTTACACAAACATCCCTAAATCTTGTTCTAAATTTCAAACATAATTGAAATGGCACAGCGATTAGGCCGTAAAACTAACTTACGTTCGTCGTCAGAGCTGGTCGATTCCGGAACCCAGCCAACCTCATCTCCCGCCAAACCAGACCCGGGAATAGTCGTCTTGAATCGCGGGAAATTGAAAATCTTGCAGGTGAACTTAGAGGTTGGCTTGACACCGTACTTAAAACCAGGAGTCTCTGCTTCGAAGAATTAATAAAATGGAATCCAGGCAATCAGAAATGGAGAAATTAGTCGTATATACATATCGATCAGCGATCTAGAAGAAAGAAAAACAAAAACATACGATCTTTCTGCTGAAATGGAACATACCAAACCAACATGACAACGCCTTGAGGCAAATATCATAAGTCTAGAGCGATATTCCTGTGGATTTAACCTGCGATTCGGCGGTATCACCAAAGAAGAAGAAGAAAATTCCCTTTGGAAAATTAAGGATTTAATGAATTTTTAATACTAAAATTGGTCCACCTCTCGATGAAGCTAAAAGCAATATCAACAATATTCATTACTTAAATAACCCAACTAGTGCGTCAATGTACTTCTATTAAAATGAAAAATGAAATGGAAATGTAACATAGCTATGTCTTTTCAAAATAATAATCTGTGGGTCTAGATGAGTTTAGTCCAAATGTAGTTTAAAATGTTGTTATGCATATTAGCAAGCCTTTACGCCATATGTTGTAAATGTCGCTGACCAAAGGTATATTTCCAAGCAAATCAAAACAAGCGAAGAAAAAAACAAAGACAAAGAGAATATGTCTAACTACACACCAATTTCTGTACTTTCATGGTTTCCGAAAATATTAGAACGTATTTTGTACACTAGAACTGTGAATTTAATATAGGCCTACAGTGGTCAATATGATTCCGTAGCAACTATCTTGAATGGCATTAATTGATCTCACCGATGAACTTATGAGTGCGTTTGAGGATAACTCCTACGCAGTTGGATTTTTTTTAGATTCTTCAAAGGCGTTTGATACCATTAATCACAACCATGTTATGTAAGTTACAATATTATGGAATCCGTGGTGTTGTACATAATTGGTTTACTAGTTATTTTGAAGAGCGTTCTCAATGTACTAAGTTCAAATCAGCAACGTCAGAATCCAAAAATATATCATGTGGTGTGCCACAAGTGGTGTGCATACATATATAT